TAACTCCTGACCAAACTCCTTAAATAACTCCTAACTGAGTAACTCGAGTAACCCCTAACCGAGTAACCCATGACCTAGTAACCCCTCGAGTAACCCCTAACCGAGTAACCCGAGTAATCCCTGACCGAGTGACCCATCAAGTAACCCTTGACCGAGTGAACCCTTCGAGTAACCTCTGTCCGAACCCTCAAGTAACCCCTGACCAAGTAATTCGAGTAACCCTCTGACTAAATAACTCGGATAACCCCTAACAAAATAACTCAGGTAACCCCTGTCACACAATGTGACCTGCTGCATCAAAAAGTTGTTGATACTTAAAATAATACCAATTAATAAAAACGGGTCGTAATAAAAAGGGAGGCGTAGAGTATATTTAAGGTAGTTATATAATAGCAAGGTCAATTAGGTGTTTTACGCATGTTTAAAATGCTGGAGTCCAAACTCCTCAAATCCTATTCGACATGGACACATGGTTAAATGGCAAAATGAGATACATACATATCGTGTGTGTTAGCGTGTGTGAGGACTGAGGAGGTAGGGGAGATTGGGAAGTTGTTTGAGATCCACCCTCAATTTGAAGAGAAAAAAAAAAAATCTCCCATTATCTCAACGTCTTGTAATCATTTCTCTTAAAAAAAAAATAAATAAATAAAAAAAAAAAAAAAAAAAAACTGTAAAATTAAGTAAAATGAACTTAAATTGAGGAACGTTTGATTAATTTAGTAAAATGAACTTAAATTAAAATGAATAAACGGGTTAATTTTTTTTTTTAATTGACAATACTCGTATAATGAGTTTGGGTTAGTTGTATGGACAAAAAGAGATATTCTTATGAATAAACAAAGTCACTCATATAAATAAATAAAATAATCTTATAAATCAATCACACCGTGTGGCTTGCCACACACAAGATTTGTTGTAGTTCATTAGATGCTATTAGATATACGGATTAATTATGTTTATTACTTGTATTTCTTATTTATAGATACTCCGTTGGATTCAAGTTTTTATCCATTATTTACTTAATTATATACTTTTAATTTATATTTATTCTTTTTGACTTTTGGCTGCTGAATAGCACAGACTACCTTAACTGACATTAAGCCATTAAGAATTTTAAAATTATACTTAGAGGCTTGTCCTTCCCCTTCTCCTCTAAAGTTAACTGACAATTTACTAATAATACTGGAACCTACTTGACTTAGAGTCAATTCTATACACCTTTAATCTAATTAAGTGTATTAGCGCACGTTTACAATCAATGATAATGATCCATGCGTGAGTTTTAAGCTATACCTTTGTCATTTACTGCATTATTATATTGCTAAATCTACAACATGATATACACAAAAAATGAATAACATAACATCAATGATAATGATATTAAGCTTAATTGAACGAAAATTATAAGCTATTAGACCATCTCCAATGATGAGACTTGAGGGAGTTTTTTTAGGAGAGAGAGAGTATTTTTTTGCAAAGGATACCAATAAGCTGGTATCTAAACTTAGCAACTCCAAAAAAAAGTTGCTAAGTTTAGATATCCAACTTTGAGTCTCATTTGACAAAAAGTGTGAGCCCCTTATCAATATTATAATATATTTTGTAATTTATTTACAACATGGATTTGGTGGGCCATAAATTAAAAGTGACATTAGTATACTTTAGAGAGTCTCACCATTGGGAAATTAGACTTTACATGAGTTGCTAAATTGAGAAGTGGGTTAGGTATCACCATTGAAGGTAAAAAAACAACTCATTTGTATTTCAAATACTCAAAGTTGAGTCTCACTATTGAAGATGGTTTTAATGTTAAAAAAAAAACCTAAATAGAGCTAAAGTAGCTCTTGCAAGTGCACACATACTATAATAATAAACTATTATAGAGTTAGAAGTATCTTTTATATAAAAAGAAATAAATTTGCAAGCCTTGTAAAATAACATAAAAATTGATTATTAAATATTGAAACTACAAAAGTGATGTCAAATATATTGATGACCAAGAAATACGTATTGATGAGAAGACCAAAAATTAAATGAGCTTTAAAAATATAATTGACCACTAATTACCTTAGCTTATATGTGTCAAGTCAAGTGTGTACATCACATTATTTATATTGATTCGTAATCATGTATATGCTACATACACTCAAAATTAATCAGAGACTTGATCTCATGTGTCAAACACATATATATACATGTCTCAGGCGTGTTTATGTTCAATACATGTCGGACACACGATACACCTATTATGAAGCTATGCAACTAGACAACGAGCTGAGGTACTTGAGTTTACTAGATCCACCATGGTATCGCGGTTAGCACTTGTTAGTTGTCACTCAATCAAGTAGCTTAATCCTAAACTAATTTAAATAAGACATCTTTTGTTTTATAAACAAGAAAGTCAAAGGTTAACATAAAATGTCTTTTTTTTCACCGTTGAAATTTTCAAGAGTTTAAAGGAACAAAAGAACATGATTGTGTTATACTTGTATTTCCTATAATTGGATGGTTTTAAAGCTCTAATTTTTCTCCTTTTTCACTCATCGACTAGGAGTTTGACTCAAAATCAGAGTTGACGCTGTGATCGAGCAAATTGTTATGCATTTTATGTCAAGTAGATTGAAGTATAGGTACGTAATTAGACGAGTTAGGGGTGTGTTTTATACTTTTATTTTAGGTGTTTTGTCTAAAAATTATCTAATGTTATGAGAATATTAAACCTCTATATATCTTCAGTAGTTTTTATTATGTGTGTTGTCCTGTTTGATTTGTTCATTTGTGATTATGGTAGCATGTTGGATTTTTTATATATATTTTTTTTTTCTTCTACTATGTGTTTGCATGTTTCAAGCTAGCTTAGATTTATGAGAGTTTTTGAGGTGCTTTTCAAGTGTTTGAGGCAACACTTCGATCAAGCACTAGACTCGAGTTCTCATGCAAACAAAAATTTTATATTAAAAATAACATAAAAGTGTATTGAAAAGAACCAGTGCGCTCAAGTGCATAATATATATGGTACACTTAAGTGCTCTACCTAATATATGTGATTAAGATATTTATTTATTTATATATTTTGAACTTTGGGTGTAACTTATTCAGCCCAATTATGAACTATTTTGATATAAAACTTGTTATACATATTGAAACTATATGTTCAAATTTTAACTTATCTAATCACCTTTTTACAATTAAAATAATAATAAATTGAATTGCTTACCTTTTCTAGTAATAGTATGAAATTTGGCTTCTCCAATTAATACAAAAACGGTTTTTGAACCGTTTATATTAGGCCAAACTAATTAATTTGTCCCTAATTGAATAGTGGGGTCTACATATTCAATAATTTGTTCATTGTTAAATTAGTTTGAAGTAGTGTGAACATCTTACGCAAGCAATGAGCTATATATTGAGCTCTACCATTAGTGCCATATATAGAATTAAAGTAATCAATCACCCAGGGAATTGAAAGCGATGATGATAAGAAGATGTGTACACCAAACAAACAATTAAATAACGTTATTTTGGTTAATTTCTCACAAATTTATGTAAACATTTGCTATCTTGTACTTCATATAATCACAATGTAACTTCAATGTGTGAGAATTAGGACTTATCGAACAACTTTTTTATGTACTCATATATGTATGTGTAGATGTCATCTTAGAATCGGTATTAAAAACGTAAAATCGAAATTCATTTACACAATTTTTGCAGCTCTCTCTACATAGTGGTAGAGCTAAGTGTTAAACAATAATGTCAAACTCAATTGAATCCACTTGTCTTAATGTATCTCCGTTACTGTCTTTACACCCAAAAAAAAAAAAAGAGTACGGTCAATTTAAGAACCACAATACTACGAAAAAACACTGATGAATTGATGATCATGATATAATGATTAAAGAAGCATCACCCAAACGGCCAAACAACAAAGAATGTACGTTGTGTTGAAGACACGGTACATTTTCAATCTTCATTCAGACATTCACACAAGCCACAATCCCAAGTTGGCCACAAACATGTGACTATGTGACCCTTGACATTTTATACTTTCATTTCATTTAATTTTCTCACATTTTTATGCATTAGTGGGCCCCTTATATATTTCCTCAATTTGACTATAGTTCTTAGTTCTTACACACTTGGTTTGGAATGTTCTTGCTAGTAATTGCTATTTTTACTTTTCGATCTCTAACTTTTACCGACCTTATTGTTCATCTTACATAATGCCCAACTTTTTACGTAATCTATGACTAACTTTGGTGCAGATTATTGTTTTGGAACGCTAAGACCACTATCAGCAGTGAGGAAAAAAAAAAACCTCTCAATCTCTCTCTACCCATTTTCTCACTCCTCCCATACAATTTCTCTCATCAAATGTTTTTTTCACTACATCAATGAGGAGAAAAAAAAACCTCTCATCACTTTTTCCTCCACTATTTACTATACCCCACCATAATACACATCATCTTTTTATTTTATCTTTATTTTGAAATAATGTTTATACTACATATTTAATTTTCCAATACAATTAAAATATGTGAAAATAATTTATTTTTTAATTACGTTTAAAAATAATTTAATAAAAATGTATAATTTAATAACAATTTATAAGTTTTATATTTACTTTTCAATTACGTTTAAAAATAATATAATAAAAATTATAATTTTTATATTTATTTTTCAATTACGTTTCAATTATAACTTAATAAGATTGTTATTTATTTGTCAATTACGTTTTAATTATAATTAATAATATTTTTTTTATTTTTCAATTACGTTTTATTTATAATTTAACATTTGAATTAGTAGCACATTTTTGTAATGAACACATTAAATAGTCACATGGGAACTTCAATAACGGTAATACAAACACATGGAATGTTAAATAACGGTACAATTACGAACTAGATAAAAGTGGTTCTACTAAAATAAAATACAAACACGAGTATTAAAACATAAATAACGATACGGTTACAAATAACAAACTAAAAAATTATTTATGCAACCGCATTATGATGAAAGTTCTGCCATATGTGCTCCACTAAATCTTGTTTCAGAGATGAATGAATTTCTCTATCACGAAGGGAAATCCTTCTCTCCAAATACGTGTTGAAATCAATGTTGGGTGGTCGCCCGACGTTGAATTCAAATGGCTCGTTGTTAAACACCGTGGCACTTGTGCTCGGGTCTGCCCGCCTCACCGTAGGTTGTGGTCGATCTTCTTCGTAGTATCGTCTCAAAACATCTGCACGTGCGTAGTTGTGTCGTTCATCCTCGACGATCATGTTGTGCATTATTATACAGGCTTTCATAATATCACAGAGAATATCTTCGTCGTATGCAAGTGCTGGTTGTCGTAGTATAGCGAACCTAGCTTGTAAAACTCCGAAAGCCCGTTCGACGTCTTTCCGAACTGCTGCTTGTTGATCAGCAAACAACTTGACTTTTCTAACATGAGGATGTGTTATACCCTGTATAAAAGTTGGCCATCTCGGGTAAATCCCATCGGCCAAGTAGTAGCCCAACTCATATTGATGTCCATTAACCGTAAAATTTATGGGTGGTGCATGACCTTGTAAAACATCATCAAATACCGGTGAACGGTAAAGGACATTCAAATCGTTACATGACCCAGGCATTCCAAAGAACGCATGCCAAATCCATAGATCCTGATCAGCAACAGCTTCAAGAATGAGAGTTGCACTCTTGCTACGACCAGCATATTGTGCCTTCCAAGCAGTAGGACAATTCTTCCATTCCCAATGCATGCAGTCTATACTACCAATCATCCCTGGAAAACCACGCAGATCATTTTGATGAAGGATTCTCCTTAAATCTTCATCTGTAGGTTTTCGTAGATATTCACTTTCAAATTGTGAAATAACCCCTTAACAGAAATGTTGCAATGCCTGCCTAGAGGGTATTGTGGAGTATCTGGAACACTTTCTTCCATTTCATCTTCATATTGAGAATTGCTCCCTTGATAAACAGGAGGTGAATGTGGTGGTGGAAATTGAGGAGGTGTTGTTGTGGTGGAAATTGAGGAGGTGTTTGTTGCGGTGGATATTGAGTAGCTATTCGTTGAAGGAAGGTTTGAAATCGAGGGTTAGTGACAAAATCATCACCCAAATCAGAAAAATAATTAGAAAAATCTGGGTTGTTAGGATCCATTAGCAAAATAATAATAATAATAATAATAATAATAATAATAATGATAATAATAATAATAATAATAATAATAATAAAAATAATAATAATAATAATAATAATAATAATAATAATAATAATAATAATAATAACAACAACAACAATAATAATACTACTATTTTTTTTGACAATATAATAATACGATTTTTTTCAAGGATTAATAAATTTAACAGAAATAATAATAAAGAAATTAATAATAATAATAATAATAATAATAATAATAATAATAATAATAATTATAAGAATACCAATAAAACTACTACTTTTTTTAAATTAACACTACTACTACTACTACTAGTAATAATAATAATAATTATAATAATAATAATAATAATAATAATAATACTAAATAATAACTGAGGGTTTTTTTTTTACGAATAATAATAATAATAAAAATGATGAAAATAACTCAAAGAAATTGGGAAAAGAAGGAAATTTGTAGTATTTATGGGTTTTTTGAAAGTATATCAAAATATATCAAAATGCATGTCTATTTATAGAGAAAAAAAAATCTATCCGTTGGTGAATTTTGTTTTTTTTTTTTTAATAATTACAACGGTTATATTTACCTTACAAAAATATAACCGTTGTAATAAAAGCAAAAAAATCTGATTGGTTGGAAGGACAAAGCCTGACGCGTGTCGCATCCCCATTGGCTGGGTCTGACGCGCGTCAGGCCAGCTGCCCCCTTATTTTTTTTCCCTTTTTGCCCCTCAAAACGGCGTCGTTTCGCCCTTCTTTAAGGCAAAACGACGTCGTTTTGCAAGCCAGAAAGGAAAAAAAAAGGGAAAGCAGCGTGTACATGTGGGGCCCACCGGTTACTGTTCACGAGTATTTCCCCTCAACTCTTGTGCGTTTTCCATAGCTCTCAACGGTGAGGGTTTTTTCCCTCACTAACGTAATGCTCGGGTATTTTTTTTACACCTTTATTTTTACTCGTGAGGGCTTTTTTCCTCACTGCCGGGAGTGCTCTAAGTGTGACATAATCAGTGACAAATTCTCAATTTATGAATAAATGGGTTACACATCCTCAATGATTTCAAGTTGATTATGGTTTACTATTATACTCGTATGTTTATTTCAAGAAAGTCATTACGATAGCAATTTTTCAAAATATTTTAATAGTTACTTAGAGCATCTTCATAGGTATACTTAGCTTTTCGATCCATTTCTTAATACATACAATAAGTTGACTTTTAACGAGTGTATAATAAATACAGACTATTAAATTTATCAAGAAACGAATAAAGTATAAAATTAAAGGATTTTCTCGTAAATTATATAGATTTTAAAGCATGTAGCTTAATATTGGAGTGGAAAAATTGATTATGGCCTTATTTGGCAAATGACTGTTGGCGGTTGGCTGATTCACTTGGCTTATTTGACCAGCTGGAATGTTTGACTGTTTATAATGGCTTTTGAAATTGACTATTTAAACCGACTGTTTATAAAAGTGCTTGATAAATTTAGTTATTGGTTGTTGGCTGTTTATTAGATGATTTGTGGGCCAACAAGCCAAAAGCAACAAAAAAAAAACTACTCAAAGCAACTTTTTCATTTTGGTTTAAAAGCCAGCTTTTTCGCTGAATGAAAAGCCAATTACCAAACACTTTTTTTTATTGTTTGACCACATAAAAAAGCCAAAAGCTAACCAAAAAGCCACCAAAAAGTCATTTACCAAACATGGCCATAGCGATTTGCTCAAATTTAACAAGTTTACATAAACAAATATCACTTGTCCAATATTGTATGCATACAAGCTACAATTTGCGGTAGCCAACTATTGTAGAGTTTATGGCTTGAGACATTGTACCTTGAAAATCTTAAATGGCATTATGGCAAGCCAAGCTACAATACCATGTAACTTGTCATTCGTGAAGATGCTCCGATCCTGTATGTATAAAGGAATTGCTTGCAAATTCTTTTAAATTCTAAGCAAGAAGCCTACCACTAGAGTGAGTTAATTAAATTACTTGTTCTCAAACAAGCTACATTGAATTAATTGCTTGATTAATTAAATGAACTAATAAAACCAACATCATATATATTGTATGCAAGACATAAGGTGTTATAATTATCGGAAAATTTTGTGACTAGGAAAGATATATAGCATGAAAATTGACATGGATTGTAACTTGTTATTGATGATACTCAACATCATATATTTTATGCAAAAAGTCACAAGGTAAAAATGACATGAATTTTAACTTGATATTGGAGATGTTCTTATTAGTTTGTGAATATAATTATAGACACATTGATACATTAAAATTAGGTTTTGAATTTTCTCGTACTTTTTTTGGGGCGGGCCAAGGGGTGGGAGGGTGGTCACCTATATGCATTATCATTTACCATGCATGTTCACTTTCCCAATTTAAGACCTTTCTTTACGTGAAAGAGAGAACAATTTACCTAAGTGATGTAACAACTGAGATTACAAATTGCAGCTTTTCTGTTTAAGTATATTTCATCATGTTTAAAAAAGATGCATATATACCATGTTAAGATTAGGGGAAACAATCATGAATCTCACCTAGCATTCAACATATATTAGTGCTAACTCAATACCCTTATACTCCCCTTCTTGTATTACACTAGCTTTATATATATATATATATATATATATATATATATATATATATATATATATATATATATATATATATATATATATATATATATATATATATATATATATATATGTATGTATGTATGTATGTATGTATGTATGTATGTATGTATGTATGTATGTATGTATGTATGTATGTATGTATGTATGTGTGTGCGCTCGCGCCCACAATAAGTTATCATTCAATACCAGCTAGCTTAGAATATAGTGAAGCCGTGAAGGGTTTACAATATTTATCTGCATGAAAAATAAATCTTTGTACTCATCAATCAGATGATCTGAGTCATACGATATACACAAGTAGAGGTGTCAAAATCTCACCCAACCGACTCGACCCGAAAAATACCTGATTTAGATTTCGACTTTCATGGACACAATAAGTTAGCATGACTCAAGTTTGAAATAGACTCGACCTAACTTGAAAACACTAAATCCGACCCAACCACACCAAACCCGACTCAGACACCCGAATTGACACCCCTATATACAAGGCGAGTCAATATAAAATCTAACAAATACATATAGAATTGGATAAAATGAAATTCCACCCTAGTATAAGTGTATAACTACAAAAGTAATAGGTGCAGTTAATCTAACTTTTCTATGTTCTCTTTTCCATTTTGATGCGTTGCTTAGTTTTATTAAACATGTTCATTTTTAGGAAGAAAGAGATTTAGAACAACCTAACTTTTTATAGCACAAAAAATGCCAAAAAAGAAAATAATATCAACTCGAAATAAGTATGAAAGAAATAGACGGAGTACATGAAAAGGAAGACATGTGCCAATCAGATCCAAGTAGAATGATGTTATGATAATAAACCCTGAGTAACTAGCATTTCAATAAGACTTTGAATTGAGTGCGAAAAAACCATGTGCTTGCATACATTGCATTAATAATTGGAGAAAGACAATAAGACGACATTACTCCTACTATAAACGTGGATCGTTCATTCTTCATTCTAGTGTAAAAAAATCCTCATCATCTTCAACAATACAACTATACAAGTGTACGTAAGATAATAATAATCATGCAAGAGAAAATCTTACACTATTTTTTATGTCGACAATGGATTACAAAATTCACGTTTGAGCTGTAAGGATATCAATGTTAAAGTGATGTGATATAAGAATTGTCTTCCCGTTATTATTAAATTAATAAACTTCGTCGCTCTTCTGCTGGTCCTGTTCTTTTCGATTGATTTCTATACCATTAAAAATAAATTTTACTTATTTGGATGATTATTATTGATATAAATTGATATATTATTGATTCAAATAACTTCTTTCCATATATTAGAACTTATTCTTACTAATTAATCAAAGTTGATAAACAAAGACACAAGATAGGTTCGTTTTGCGTCTTGTGTTTTTATACTCATGTTTAATTAACAAATGTGGCATTGAGGTCATTTATAATTAGCTCGTTCATGCTCGCGTTGTGCAAAAAATGGTAGGGATATCTCATCCATTTGTAACAACCATATTATTTTAGGGCATGTTTGGTTTTGTTTTTTTATTTTATGTTTCCTGCTTTTTTAAAAAAACCAAAAACAGGAAACAAGAAAAAGATGTTTTCACTTTTCTATTGTCAGTTTTCAAAATTATCATGATTTTAATAAGTGATTAATTTTTAATTCAATGTATGACATATATCATATGATTTTGAAAAACAAAAACCAAAAAATAGAAAACCATAGCGATATTAAACGAGATCTTATTAAATACAATCATACGAGTTCTTATTAAATTTGTCTCAAAATTTATAATATCAAATTATACAATTTTATTTTACCAAAATATCATCAAAAATATTGATGCACAATCTTCCTAAACAATACATGTGAATATTTACATACATTGATTAAAAAAATTAAAAAAAAAAAAAAAAAAAAAAAAAGGAGAGAGAGAGAGAGAGAATTAAGCACTTTATATGATTGAGAGACCAACTAGTCACTCCAATTACCATAATATGGTACAAAGATGAAATCTCCCTTGACCTTTTGAAGAAGCCCAAACTCATATTTAACATTATATCAAAGCTAGGGGCGGCCATAATGACTCTAATATACATTGGACCAAGTGGAGTTGTATACATATGTGGGAGAGTGTTAAAATTACACTTTGGCTCTATACGAAACATTACATGTGGGTGTGCATGACTAAATTAAAAAGAGTTCAGTGTAGAAGAGTGTTGAACCATAACCTTTACATAAAATATTTTTGATATGCAATGACTAAAAAATTACCAATATTGAAATAAGACAAAAATCCATCCATGTAGAAGATTACAAAAGGCAAGTTAAAATCGTCATCGCTTAGCCATAAAAGTAGTAGCTAATAAGGTAACTTGGTCCATGGAGAAGATTACTAATCAATCTTGAGAAAAATGTAAAGAAAAAAAAAATATAATAACCTTGAACAAATGTGAAAAATGTCAGTCAAATATTGATCATAATTAATATCAATAATAATAATAATAATTTCACATAATTTGTTAATTTATATAAAATACAAATAAAAAACAACGAATGCAAGAAGAATTCATCGTTGGTCTAGTCTCCTCTCCGCCCATAGTAAAAAGAGCTTATCCTTGAAAACACGTAGGATTTGCGGCACACACTCACCCCCACACCAATACAATTTGTCAACTCTTATTTTTCTCTCTCCTCTCCCTTTAAAAGGAGAAATAGGTGACTCCCTAAAAAGTCGCTTCTTTTCTTTCATTTCTATTTTCACACATATTTTGCTTATTCCCCAAGAAAATATTTTCACTTTCTCTCTCCTCTTTTCTATTTTCTCTCTCTTCTCAAGCTCTTATCATCTTTTACCAGCTATCATCTACCGATTACAAGAAGATAATTAACAACTCAACTTTTTGAAGTGAATTCATTTATCTCGTTTTTTTTTTTTTTGAAAGATTTATCAAAATAAAGATTGATTAAAATGAAGGTGGTTTGGTCTCCTGATAATGCTTCTAAAGCTTATATTGATACCGTTAAATCTGTAAGTTTTTCTTTTCATTTCTTCTTTATGTGTGACTTTTGGTTTATTTGATCCTATAACCCCTTGATAATTCTTTCTACTTCCCTTTTTTTTTTTAAATAAAAATTAAGTTACATAAAATTAGGTTTTGCCAGTTTTGGTTAATTCATTGAATAAAAACAAATAATTTAAAATAAATATCTAATTGTATTTCTGCACCTGATTCAAAATTCAAGATATATTTTGCTTTTATCAAGAAACGTGTAGAAGTTTTTTTTTCCTTTTGCTTTAAGTTTCATTTGATTATGAATTTCTGTAAATATTTTTCCAAAAAAAATGAATTTCTGTGAAACTAACTACTCCGTAACTTTTTATTACTTTCAATTAAAAACTACGAGTACTTTTGTAATAAGTTTTAGACAAAAAAAAAATATCTAACATTATTCATTTACCTTTTTAAATAAACAACTTGTTAATTATCTCCGTTTCTAAATGTTTTTTCTGTTTGGTAAAAAAAAAAATTGATCTTAACGTGTTTATATTGTTTTGAAATGGCAGTGTGAATTGTACCAAGAATCAGGAGTAGCAGAACTAATATCAGCGATGGCAGCAGGATGGAATTCAAAGCTAATAGTAGAAACATGGTCAAATGGCAATTTTACCCCTCGAAGCATCGGTCTCGCCATCGCAGCCCGTCACACGGGCGGCCGTCACGTATGCGTAGTACCCGACGACCGCTCTCGGTCTGATTACATGCAAGCCATGTCATCCGTCGTACACGGCGTACCAACACCGGAGATTCTTGTCGGAGAACCAGAAGAAGTGATGTCCGAACTCGAAGGCGTTGACTTTTTGGTGGTGGATAGTCGAAGAAGAGACTTTTCGAGGTTCTTAAGGTTAGCAAGGTTAAGTAACCGAGGGGCAGTTTTGGTATGTAAAAATGCTGAGGTTAAAACGGCGTCGTCTGGGTTTAAGTGGAGAGGAGTTCTAGATGGAGGGAAATATCGTGTGGTACGCACTGCTTTTTTACCCGTAGGACCGGGGTTAGATATCGCACACGTGGCAGCATCTTGCAGTGGGTCTGCTCCATTAACGAAGAAGAAGCGTTGGATTAGACATGTGGATCAGATATCTGGTGAGGAACACGTCATCAGAACTACCTGAGATATTTATGTTTAAAAAAAAAAAAAAAAAAAACAAACAAACAAACTAGTATTCGTGATTTAGGGAAAAAAGGAATGTGTCTTTATTTTATTTTAATTTATTTATTTTGGGAGTGGAAAAGGGGATATTGTTGACTAAGTAATAAATGTAAATATAAATGACTTTGTTGCTTCTGAGACATCCATGCAAATGTTTCAGAAGTGTGTAGTTTATGATAATGAATGGTCTAATTGAGATTAGGCCATATCTTTGTACAGACTAATTTAAAATGAGTGATTATGAAGTTTTGTTCATAGACTTGTTGATGACAATTGGTTATGTTTTAAACATGTTATTACTTATTAGTCGACATGCATGTTTCAATTTTTTCATGATGTAGTCATATACGTAGTACTTATATACCGAGTATACTTTTGTATGTTCGGAAAAGTTATGTCACACTAAGTAATACAAAGTACTTTCAAGGCTTTTGATCAATGTGAGAACTATTATGAGCTTCTTTTGTAGTCATATGATGTCGGTTTTTTTATTGTTTAAACTTTAGGGCTTACTTCTTTGATGAAGTATATTATTTCAAGTGAGGCATTATGGTCATCACACGGAAAGTTTTGCCTAACTGTTTTCTAAATAGTCTTACTTACACCAAATTTTGGGAAATTTTTTTTGTCTATAATTAATTATTTGCTTCAAAACTAAATTTAACTGTAGAATTTATTGTAAAATCCGATTGAGTAATTGCAATTAGGATACAAGAGCTGAGAGCAGTAGTTGCACGTAATGCTGAATATTGGGTTTGGCTAAATTAAATTGAAGGAATATTACTGAGAATATACGATATCTATTAAACGTGCGCATTATAAATGCAACAATACTGAAGTTACTGGGAGCATGCCAGTTTTTTATATCATGGCTTGTTTTGATGGATTAAACTAAAAGAATTGGGTTTAAAATTCAAAAATAAATATTAAAGCAAGTATAAGAGGGAGTGGAAAATAGGATTATGGAATAATTTAGCTCAATACGTACAAATTTTTTCATTTTAATTTGTTTTTGTTTACTTACTACTTTAGCTTGCAGATAATTAGTAAGAAAATTAGTTATATAATAATAAATTTAGATAATTTTAATCAAATAACACAAAGGAAAGTTTAAATTTGTCAAAGCCAATTGTTTTTTTTTTTTTTTTGAAGCCAATTAGTCAAAACCAATTGATTACTAAATATAACGCCCAAACGAGTAATTTGTGTAGTGGCAGTGTAAGGATATTTGACGACACCTCTCAATCTCTCATATATCAATCCAGTCTAGCTTTGCAAATCAAATTCTATGATCAAAGTGAAGGGGAAGGAATCCTCACCCCAAAAAAACCCTAGTGAAAAGGCCAAATTCTTTCCACTAAGCCAACGTCGTAGAATATAAATAATTCCATATGTATATACTTTTAAATGATCAAAAAAGAATTTTCGTTGTATTTATAAGAAAGGTAATGCTAGGCATAGGGCAAACAATGAAGCAAGTGAGTGGCTTAGCTAGCTTAGGTTGGCTGAGAAAATGGCTAAGTATTACTGTCGGTCTAGCTATGGTGTGATGTTGCGTAAGGGTGGTTGAGGATATCGAGGATCTCGCGGCGTTGCTAATGATATTATTGTTTTCATAATTTCACGTTAATTAGAAAAAAAATATTTCAAGTTATAAAAAAAAGTTATACATAACTCGTATTAGTGCCATGAATATTTCAGCGATGTATGCGAGAGATGTATCACAATGTAAGATATTCTCAACGATTATAGCTTTAATAAAGAAAACTTTTATTTGATTCTTTTTTATGTATTTGTTAATTTAAATTTCATTTGTAGATGTCGGATGACCTTTTATTATTGAATTAATTTTTTTTCAAAAAATAAATACATTAGTGCCATGAATATGTACTTATCTCCAATTCCATGATCTCAACAAAAGCAAGTTTTTCTCAATTATAATTGATTGTGAGTATTTTTTTTAACCGAAGTATACATACTCCCTCCGTTTTTAAATATGTGACTTACTTTACATTTGCTTCATTTATCTCTTATTATTGATTAATATTTGCTTGATGAATTGTCTTATCCAATACACAATATATATATTCCAATTAAGACTTATCATTTCCTAATTTTTGGTACACAGCTAATAGAAATCGCCTAATATTCCTTATCTCATGATGTCATCCCGAGCTGAGTCTTACTTTCAAAAAAAAAATGATGTCATCCCGAGTGTATTACAAGTTTACAACTGTTTAAAATTATGTTCCAAATTTCAAGTTTATGTACAAATTTTACAGCATTTATGTAAAATTTACCCTTTCTCCGTTTTTTTAGTTGCAATAGTTTGACTTTTACACTGTTTATTTACTCTACTTTGATTAGATTTCACGATTTATGGTTAAACAGAAATATAGTCATGTGGAATCTTGTCACATTCGTTTCGATATACTGTTTTAATAGCCAATGTTTATAATTTTTACATATTCACAATTAACAATATAAATGATTGAAATAATGTATCGATAAATGTGAAAAAAAAAAGTGTTGCAAGTATAAAAAAAAAATAAAGGAAGTACAAATCACTCATTTCAATACATATCAATAATATATTAAAAAAATTATTACTTCTTACTCCCTCCGTATTTTATTACTTGCTCTATTTCTCAATACGCGGAATTTTAGGAGAAATAATAAAAAATAATAAAATATGAAGGATGTAATGTGGGGTTGGTGGAAGAATAAAGTATGATAGTTGGGAGGAGTGAGAATGTGAACATATTAAGTATGATAGTTGAGGGTCCACTAGGAGAGAAGAAATTATTAAAATATTATAAAAGGTTTCCAAAAAAAAATGGAGCAAGTAATAAAATACGGCCGCATAAAAAATGTGGAGCAAATATTAAAATACGGAGGGAGTATGAAATTATATTGATAGTATATGAAACAGAAACAAAATACTCCCTCCGTATTTTATTACTTGCTCCATTACTCCTGAGCACGTACGTCGATACAAATATTTGATCAGTAATGTCTTTAATTATCAATAAGTATAAATACTAACAATTGAAAATTAATAATCTATTCATTGAATCGATTTCAACAAGTACCTACAATACTATATTTTTTTTATGTATAAATAACAAACATAAGTCAAAGTAAGTAAAATAAATAGTGCAAAATGTGCAAATGAAGCAAGTAATAAAATACGGAGGGAGTACTCCGTACCACTAATACTAACGAGTAATGAGTCTAATAAACCCATCCATACGTATACGCCAAAAGACGATCACCATGATGTGTTGGCTCATTAGAGTTTTACTTCAAAAAACATATAAAAGCATATTGTGGATTAGATTATAAAAGCCGTGTTTGTGTTAATGCTTACTACTAAGTACTAACATATTACAAGCTTACAGCAAAATTATAGAAAACTCAGTCCAAAGAAAAAACATTACATTTGAATATTCTTGTGGAAACATATAGTAACATTTTGGACAGACTGGACACATAAATTAAAGATATTGACCTCCTTTTTACAGGGTCAAAAGATTGTGGAAAATGAAAACTAGAGTAATTTTCAGCCTTCTGAATTCTTATATCATTAAAAATTCTGATTTTAGTTAGTGGATTTTGGCTTACCTTTTCACGTACGTCATGAGTTAATGAAGTTACAAATGTCTTTAGACTTGGAGTATTCTTGTTAAACACGGTTAAGGAATGTTCAATACGCGTCAAAGTAAATGAAATGTTGCTTTTACATTCTACCTTGGAAAGTGTTTTACTTCATACTTCATTTTTAACTTTTATGGTTTTTTCCCTTTTCTTTTTTTGTCTGAATAAGTAATAATGCATAACGAATTTACAAGTACAAATACAATTGGAGAAGAGAAATATTGGAATTTGTAATATAATCGTATACAAATCCTCAATCTTTACCTCTAAGCTCTAAGACTTCAATGACATTTTTACTTTTAAAGCCTAAATTTTGATATAGTACGATTTTTGTTTTATAATACTAACGTGGTAAAAAAGTTATTTGATCAACACATTATAACCTTATCTTAAAACTGCGTGTTGATAAATTAATTCTAACATTTTAAATTTCTTCAAAAAAAAAATTCTAACATTTTAATGTATCCTCCACATATTTTAGATAAATAAAAGATATGTGAATACTCTTTTTTTCAAAAAAACTCATAATTCTAGCCATCCCAAAAAAATTTAACCACTTACTATTAATCCATAAATCAAAACATTCAAGATCAACCCGAAACAAAAAGTGAAAAAATCCTCATTAAAACGGAGTAAGACAAATAATCCAAACCGATGATCTTATTCTTTATTCGAAATACTCCGTAGATAATGTTCTTATTCCCTTTTCTTTCACAATATATATAATGTTCTTATTCTTTACATTTTCATGATATCAATTGTTCTTATTCTAAATAATAAACGGATTAATGAAACTTGCGGGTTGCATCAAATGACAGAATACTACTTTTTCCAAATTAAAAGGGGCTTTTAAAGCTATGTAACATCACCCTTTTATCAAATCAATCAATATAGATAAAATATGGTTTGAGTACTTCTTGTTCTTTTAGAATACTACTCGTATAAAAGAGTGGTAGGTGCACAATCACAGCAATAAAATTAGAGTGCATAAGAAAGCCGGCACCTATATATGAAAGTACAAGTATAAATTCATTAATTCTACCAAATATACAAATTGTCAATATCACCAACTCACCGAAAGCAATATTTAACGAACCGACAGATTCCGTTATCAAAGATGAGATGAGAAGGAACTGGTAATTTAGTCAAAAGATCGTCGAATTCTGTTGTATTTCTGTATGCTTCACAGCATCTAATTCAGAAAATAGACAGTTGGATGTTACGTGAAACCGATAACAACCAAATACCAACCTCTTACCTAATATATTCACAACGAAGAGAAAGTTTACCGAGCTCCTCCAATCATCCCCTAAGAGGCAACTCCTTTTTTTCCGACCAGATACCGACAGAGGAGGAAGTAATCTTAATGACCTAGCTAAGGCATCTTTAATTCATGAAGACAAAGTGGGATCTCAACTCACTGTTTTAGTCCCAGCTACCTTTACTTCGACGGAGGGACTTCTTCTGTGACAAGACTTTTTTGTTCTGCAATCGTTTCTGCTCTGACTTGGCAGACCTTCAGCCATAGACAAGCAAACTTGATGTCAATGCATATAATAAAGAGACATCGTAGAAGTTATAAAAGCGAACAAAGAATCGCAAGTTGGAGAATATATAGATGGTTGAGAGTTCAAAACGAGGATATGAAAGGAATCATACAATTGAGCTATTTTCTTCTTTTGTGCTTCTGTAGGTGCTGGTGGGACATACGCAGCAGCATCAATAATTGCCTGGGTTCAGTAAGTTAAAATAAGCATATAAGATAAGATTAAGTACACACAAATATCTTCTGAGCAAATCGGAAAGTGAGTGAAGAGCTACTAGGCAGAATTTGACAGATGAAATATCTTTGTGAAAATGAAGCTAAAGCACGATGGGCAACACAACTTCACCATTAAATCCAATTGGTGGCCACCAATAAATGAACAATTGTGTGTATGAAGGAAGAAAATTACTTCAGCTGAATTATTTGTAGCTTTCTAAACCCAACAAGGACATATGAGTACTTCACAATGAATCCTTAAACAAGAACATAGAAGAACAGAAGAGGAAAAACAAAAAAATAATTAAAATATTTAACAAGAATAAAGGAGAAATGCAGATTTAAGCACCTGTAGTTTTGATAGGGCGTCTTCAATGTTACCCCTGACATACAGATAAAGAATAAACGATATTTAGAAATGTGCACAATAGAAAAGCTGAATTCAAAAGTAAACTATGTAGCAAGGAATTTACTGTTGTGTCCGAGTCTTGGTGGAAGAAATCACAATCTCTCCGTCTTTGTTGATCCGGTTCTTCTCCTGTTCATCCAGAAGCATTATATGAGACAAAATGAATAACAATTGTTGTCAAGTGCTGCCAGATATTTATATTGGAACAAACTCCATTCTCTAATTAAAACCAAAAAGTTGGAACCCAGGGGCTTTTTTCTCTTATTTCTCCATCGCCAGTTCATTATTATTAATTAGTTAAATATTCATTCATCCCTGTATTTAACATTCATGTTCAAAGCAGAGGCTTGCATTGAATACAAATTACAAAGGCCCTACTCCAGCTATAAGGTATCCAAACAATGACATAAATCTTTCAATATATGAACACAAGACAGAATAGACTTATATATTACTCTGAAAAAATAATACAAATAACGAGGAAAGAACCAAACCAATTGCATAATCTTATCTCTGATTCTTTCACTCAGCCAAGTTGCATTTTTCACATTGAAGCGCATGTCTACCTTAGTGTTTACTGCATAAAAAAGTTAAACACTGAAACTATGACAGTATCTCAAAATGCTCACTATTAAATACAAAAAGGGACTTAACAAACCTTTGTTAACATTTTGACCTCCAGGCCCTCCACTTCTTGCAAAATTCATAGTCACGTGCTCTACAGATATACAATGATACAAATTAGACAGCTGTACATCAATTATAAAAATAGGTGATACAAACTAGCCGACTGTACGGAGTACGTTAAGATCAGTTTATGTTAAGATCAACTAGCTCAACGATAAATGCAAAAGGACAAACTAATACAGAGTATGTTATTGAAGAGCTCCTTTCCTCAATGACTCATTGCCATTATCTAAAGTTTTGCAGCAGTAACTTAAAATTGAAATGATGATCAACAATCACCCTATGATTAAGAATAAATAGCATTTCAGAGATTGAAAGGAAACTTATGAAAAGGCATGAACTTCAAGAAAATACACTTGCTTTGCCTAACGATGGAACGGAAATCTTAAAATATAAAGGGAGCAAGGCGCATAAGTCCTTGAAGCCTAGGCACAAGGCAAAGGTGCATGCCTTTTGTAGGTGAGGCACACTTTATTTATAAAAAAAATATATATATATATTAGATTCTATTAAGCAAGTCTAAAAAAGGAATTAAGAAAAATGGTGAAAGGGTTATGTGATCAATAACTAGGGTTCTTCAAACGGAAATGGGGACATGGGGTTTCTCTCTCCTCTAGAATTAAAGTAAACCTAACAGTTGCAAAGTCACATGGTAAACTAACAAATTAGCCAATGACTACTTAAAACATAAGGTGCAATAAGCAACCTAGAAAAAAGCGCATAGGTGTGTGCCTTTTGTAGGTCTTTGCGCCTCACATAGCCAAGGCGGCAGGCAGCCAACTCTCACGCCTCACTCCTCACCGTGCCTTGCACCTAGGCACGCTTTTCAAAACTAAGACAGAAATCAAGGACAATTATATAGTTAAACCTAAGTAGCAACTCTGGTAGGAGACATAAAATGGACTCTTTATCTCCCCAATCTTAGAGCACATGCTCTCATTTCCACCTAATAGGTACTTGAAATTGGGCAAAGAGATCGCAAAAAGGATTAAACGAGTAAGCAAAACAGAATCACAAGTAAAACTTGTTATCTATTCAAGAAACGTCAAACGTTTATTTACAATGACCAATGGCCAATGGCTAATGGCTGAACTATTCCACAGATCATAAAATCCATGGCCTATAAGGCTATAACAAAACTTTAGCAGCAGCATAACCTACTCGAAAGATACAAAGCTATTCTGTAATAAGCCCACAATTTTGAATAGAATGTCAGTTAAGGAACTGATAACAAGTTTATGTAAAGGCATGAAGTTTCGTTAATACATTATAAAGGATAGAGATTGAGGACAGATTATAAGATAGATTATAAAGTCTATGCTAAGTAACAATGTAGCAAGCTAGCAACAATCACGTTGTATGAGCATAATGTGGACCCTTGTCTACCCAATATGAGCTCCCATGTACGCTAAATCGGTATTCAGAATTCGGCTTAAAAGAAGTTTTTCTTAATAAAAAAAAATTGGGTCGACAGCTTTGGAAAAAAAAGACAGTATGGGATCATAATATTCATAAGTACATTGTGTTATCAATTCTTTAAAAGCAAGATTTCATTTCCAATGCCCTACAAGGAGAACTACGGGGTAGTTCATAAGCCAAAGGTCCAAAACCATTGTGCACAAAATCCTCAAAGATAACCAACCTAATGAATTTCCCGAAATATAGCAACACTATATTGATGCTTCAGGACCACCAAAGCCGACATTCAGAACAGAAAATCAGTACATACAGTTAAGTACTTGTAATTAATTTTTACAGCTTCAATAGAGCTATACAAGAGATACATCACTTACATTTTAACTAGAAAAACAATCAACAGTTTAACACCTATCCTCATTTACAAATAACTGCATTGGTCTCCACTTATGATGTTACCAAAAACCATTTGAATAACCCTAAGTTCAGATTTCCAAACAAAAATTCATGCTAAACTAATCAATCACATACAAAAAAGTACCAATTAAAGAACCCCAGTTCATATTTCAATACAAAAATACTTGCTAATCTAACCAAGAACACACTTTCAATTAAAGAACCCTATGTTCAAATTTCCTAACAAAAATTCATGCTAAACTAATCAATCACATACTTTCAATTCAAGAACCCTAAGTTCATATTCCTTGACAAATAATTCATGCTAAACTAACAATCACATACTATGACAATTCGATTGTTGCCCATTTCAATTCAACATTAAAAAACCTAATACTCAAACATTAAATAGCAAAAATTAGAAATGAGGAGCAACAGAATTACCAAGAGAGATTTTGGGAGGAGGCAGCTCGTTATCGGCGCAAGAAGCACGTTCTTCAGCTTCAACAAGAAGCTGCTGAACCTGAGAAAAACGCGCCGACGCTTTCTTCCGAGCATCGCCGTACTCCGACGCCGCAGCACACCGGAAACCGCCGTTGCTGATGTTACGGGAACCGGTGTAAGGGGAGCTTCTGAGAAATGCTAAGGCAGCGCGTTTGGTTGAAATTGCCCGAAACGCTGATTTTGAAACGCTGTTGAGAAGGATGTTTGTGGTCATTCTAATGGCTGCCATTCTCGTGAATTGGTGAGATTTTTGAAGTTTGAACCCTAGATAATGATTTTGTTGTAGTGATGATTAAGAGTGGAATTTGCAGTTGATTTTGTTTGTGGATTTATAGATTTGTGGAGATTAGGGAGAGCATTATCTTGGGTAGAAAGTCGAATTCAGAAATGTGTTTTTTTGATTTTTAAGACAGTACATACTTTCTCGCAGATAAAAATAAAAACATATTCATGTTCTTGCAAAAAAATTGTAATTTCTTGTACTCTTTTACACCGCAGTCCCAAATGTTTTGAGAATTTACACTACTCACAATATTCTACTTGAGCACTTTCTTTGAGTGAAAAATATAATCACGTAAAATTTTAATATATTTATCTCAATTAATATTTTCAGTTCTAGTTCTAAAGCTTGTGTCTTACCATCAAGTTATGTGATTTTTTATGCAATCTTTTAAATACAAAATATTAAATATGTAGCAAATGACAATATCAACAACAAATTTAATTACAAGAAAATTGAATCATAATTTACAACCTATATTAATGATCAGTTTCAAGTTATAATCCGAGTCATCGTCGAGGCCTAAAAACTAGTTAAGTGATATAAAAGACTGAAACTATGCATTGACAATCGTAAAAGTCAAAACGTTGCAACTAAAAGCTAACAAATAAAGTACTAGTAAAATAAGCAAATAAAAAGAACAAAAGAAAGTTCTTTAAAATTATTTTTGATTTTTGATTTAATGAGACAAGTAAAATAAGACCAATGATCTAATCTTGAAACTAATGGCTAACACTTCAATTAATATAGAATTCGAGTGCTGTCCCAATGAATGGCCTAATTTAGAGGCAATAACTAATGGCTAATGAATTCAATCTCATGAGGTTGTTGAGTTCGTTTGCGATGTCTCTTATTAAATTCCTAAACTGCTTGCCTATTACAATCAAGTTCAAGCATTAGGGTAACTGCTTCTGCACTCTCCCATCCTTAAGAACGAGCCTGTCCTTGAAATTTTAAGAGAGACTATTATATGGATGAACAGTTACAAGAGAGGTTAATTGTACAAATAGAAGAAATTGTTCGCTACTTTTTTGCCGAAACAAAAACACAATATAAAGGAACAAAGATAATTTAAGATGGACTTTCATGAGAAAATTTCTTAAACCTAATTGGAAAAGAAAAACCTCAAACATGTTGACTCAACTCTTCTATGCCATTTGATTTCATCTAAGTAAATTTGCTCGCAATTGTTCCCTCTAACAATTACATTGTCACTAGTACCAACAATTAGCATTAACTTTAAATCTTTTTAACACTAATCAAAATCTTTTTCGAGATTACAAAACACCCCTCAACCAATTTCTAATACTTCATGCAAGAGCTCTCTCAACCATTAATCATCTCCCAGATAAAGACACTTCATAAGATACTATAAGTCATTAAAATGTGAATTTTGAATGACATAGGAAGTGATGTACTATGTGTAGAACTAACTCAATAAATGGATCACGATTTAATATTTAAAATCCGCACAATATAAATGTGCTGCCCAATACATTGCCCAACCAGGACGTTTCATACAACAAAAGCATCACATTAGAAAGGCTAAGTGATAGGCTATACTCAGAACTCTCAAAACAGCAAGGATACATACGCTTGCATGCCTAATAGATAGTATAGTAAAATTGTTGAGAATCTACTAAAGTACTATGACACATATAGGGGCATTGTGGAGAAGATCCAAAGGTTTTTCATATGCAATCAGATACAGCTAGCAAGTCGCTTAACCCCTCATTCTCCCATTCAACCCACGATCTGTTGCCCTTCTACCTGTCTGCTGCATATGAGCCGATGCATTATTCCCACTGGGTACACTAGAGTGGTTTCCTTGACGCTGAGTAGAAGGAAGTGCCCAGCCTTGCCTGTATGTCTGTCCAGAGCTACCAGCTTCTGAGTTACCTATAGGTCACAAGAAAAAAAAAAAACAAAAAGAAGGGGGGAAAAACCAGTGAGAGGAGTTCTCACAAAGTCACAAGTACCTAATTAGAGGAACTGCTCATTCTAAGCATTTACAGTTAATAACATAATTATTACAGTTCTGTGTTATGCTCATGTTAGCCAAAGTGTCAGACAGAAAACAAAAAGACTTCAAGGACAACATCAAATGGAGATGAAAGTCTCAATAATCATTTCAAACCCATGAAAAATAGCCTCACATTATCCAGAAATGGTTCTCAGGGGGAAAAGGTGAAGCACAAGCAATAAACAAGTTAGGAACCCTTGAGAGATCTGGGCACATATAGAAAATAGAAAGTAGAAGTAGAACCGTTTAAATTTTCATCATGTTTATTAAAAAAAATTAGAGCCTTAAGTGTATTGGCTCCACCCAGCATGCACAGAGATCCTTCAACATAATACATTCCTAAACAAGAAATTTATACCTTTTCTTTTAACAAAACAACTTGCTACTTCCACAAGCACCAAAACACACACACTTTATAATAACTGAGATAAGCTTCCAGTGCTCTTACCTCCATCCAACCTCAGCCTACCACCAGTCAAATGCCTTCCAGAACTACCCTCCCAAGCATTTTCAAAGCCATCGAGCTCATCTGTAACCAGTATACATTTTGGAGAATTTGTTAGTGATCATCTACTCCCACTTATGTATAAATCTACCTCATGGCATATGTAGAACAAACCTTCATTAAGGTTATGCAGTGTCTGCCTTGTGTCCACTCTACCATCGGAATTAAGCTTCCTTGCAAGAGTATGCCCCTATACATGCAGGAAAACATCAAATATACAAGCTTTAATATCCAAAAACTGACATCCAACTTGTACTCTTCCAAGGATAGTAAAATATATTTTCCAAGGTGACTGAGAAAAATACCTTGTTATGGAGTCCCCTTGAGATCCTATGATTTGCTTGACCAGTTGTGCTATCAGCTTCTTTAAATTCTTCAAACATAACCTGTAAAGCATACACCAGAATATTGACAAGAGCAAAAAAAACAACAAAAGGCAATTCAAGGAGTCACACACATCAAAGCACAACATGTAGCATGCTTTTGGAGTCCCAATGAAAAGACAGGTACTCACCCCGTCGCTCCCGGCCCTTTTGGTTGAAGATTTAGTATAATATGCTCCATTAGTACCACCATATGATACAGTAGAGCTCTGGAAGGTGTAGCATTGAGACTGAGATTGAGGTTGCAAGTAGTTCATCCTGTTGTTAACCTCGTTTCTGGGCTGAATGTGTTTATTTTTTCCATCTGCAACACAAGATAATATTAAAAGTCAAGTCATTACACAAAAAACTAGATAAATGAAAATACAAAAGCAGATATTTCAAAAATAAATAAATAAATAAATAAATAAAATACAAAAGCAGAAATCTACTTCACCATCTGTTTCATCATCAGAAATCTCAATGTAAGGCTCACTGGCCAATCTAGAATGCTTCCTGCGGTGATTGTCTTCTGTTTTCTTAGCATCATCTTCTTCATCATGCTCATCATCTGAATCCAACTCCTCAATCACAGGCCCCCTTCGTTTATTTGGCTGAGGCTCTTGATGTTGTATAAAACCAGCTGGATGTGTACCAGTGAAAGGATTTCCATTATCACCAAACAAGCCAGTCTCGAACATTCTTCCAAATGGGCTTCCAAATGGACGAGTGAAGAAAGGGTCATCAAATGGATCTCTTCCTCCAAAAACACTTGACAGCATACTCGGATGACCTCCCATACCACCAAACCCACTTGACAGCATACTTGGATGACCTCCCATACCACCAAACCCACCAAAGCCAGCAAAGGGGTCAAAGAAACTATTCCTGCCTCCCCTTCCGTCCATATTTCTTTTTCCAATAGCTCCTTAAAAGCAAAAGGTAGAACTTTACTACCAAAATTTTATTTATAATAAGAAACAAAGTACAAAATTGTCTAAGCAGCAATTTTAAGATATTAGATATCACAAAATAAACATTCGCAATTTCACAGCATTACAGCAGTATGGTGACTATGGTCCTCACCATTCACCAAACTAGGAACCACAATCCCTTTGGTTGATTACGACATAAAGATCTATAGCAGCAGCATTAGATCTGTTTACAGGGCCAGATTACCAATAATAATTTACTAGAAACAATTTTGCAATATGAAAACAGGCAAAATAGGGGCATTGGTTAGTTAACTGTTACAAATACCAATAATCCCTTTCATTCGACAACTTCAACACAATATCCATATAAAGAGATTTCAAGTATACGGCAATCGAAAAGCTATTTCAACGTAGTTTGTAAGTTATGATCATAAAGTCCACACTGTGTAATGATCATTGATCATTCTACTGAAGACGCAAACACACAATAATGTGGAACTGCTTGCAACTGGGGTAACTTTGCTTGTAAGTATAATCATAATGTCCAAACTGAGTAATGTGATCAACACCATCAATAAATCTACAAGGGTTATCTGTAAGGTAAGTAAATCAAAGATCATGACATCCTAAGTCTGAACCCATAAATACAGGCTTTAAATTTAAAAGAATGACTCAGGTCTCGATATCAATTTATTAAATGATTTCATTGTCCAAAAGCAGCATCAGCATATAAAAGGACAAATGATTCTTCCAGCCACTAGATGATGCTGATAATGCTATAAATACAATATTGCTCGATGTGGCACTATTCTAACTCTGAATAATACTTCATATTTGCTAGAGTACAGCAGAAAGATTAATGTGGCATTATCCTAACCCAAAATGCCTATCTCTAACAAAAACTTAAACATGCCCCAAAGATTAATCCACGTAACCAATAACATATAAAGGTCTACCATCATAAAGTCATGAACACGAGATATTGATTAAAAACACAATAATACCTCATATTCAGCACAACATTAATTCACATTCTCATTTGAGGAGCACTATAACATTCCCCTCCTTTCTCAACAACGATTGTCATAACTTTGTCGCTGTTTTCTGCATAATTAATCCATAATGTTTCCAATAGAAATAAAAATCCCAAATCAAGAACATTTTCTACAACTTTCATCCCTTAATCCAATGGGGAAGGTAAATCTTCTGTATTAAAGCAATCCCACAAAGATAGGTAAGTAAATTTATCATCAGTAACCAAAAAGCTTGATATTTCAAGCTAAAGGACAATAACCCATAAAATCCAGCCGGAAAGGAATACACACTAGGTATAAACATCTTTCACCTATTAGAAAGGCTTAAAAATATATACAAACATGAGTACATCACATGCACTCACGCCTTCACTTTTAATACAAAAGTAAACACTTGAGACTAATTAATATACCTTAAGATATTCAATATATCTTTGGATGCCGTGTAGCCGGTGCTTATTAAACCTTGGTAAAATTATTGCTCTCTCCCTCTAGATTCAGTTGTCATGTTGTCCCACACTCTCATAATTGAAGGGGTATTTGGTGTTGAATATAGCTTAGACTAGTCTAGGTTGTTACTTAAATATTTAGTTAAATATAGTGTTTAGCTAGCTCTAATCTTCTATGAAGAACCTTGAAATCATCCCTTATACTTATATTACTGAGTTATGTATCTTGTTAATCCAAGTAGTCTATATAAAAGCAATCTTGATCAATGAAATACTAAAGCTTTTCTACTCATATTCTATTCTCAACATTTAGTAGGAGTTATAAGAAGTAAGAAAAGGATTTACTATCTCTAATCACCCATATCCCATGTTTGATTTGTAATGTCAGGGATAAGAAGAGGAATATAAAAAATAAAAGCAACTTATGCCACCAATTATACACCTAGGGAGGAATCGGGTTAAAAAATTGTACCCAAAATGATGAAGGTAATTCAATACATTTGCTAAACATCCCATTTTAATCCTATCTCATACCAAACAAGGAATATGGATTAAATGAAGTCCCCAAGAAAAAATCCCTATCCTTAATCCTACGTTATCTTTAACCTTATCCTTATCCCCAACTCATACCAAATGCCCGACAAAGAGCTTCCATGAGTTCATTATAAAAATATAATGTCCAATACAATAGAATTCCTGATCCCCCATTCACCCTTCTATTTAAGTTAGGTAACTGAGTCCATATTTGAAAATCTAATAATAATCCACTCATATGGTAGGAAATGTATTGCTAATTTCCTAACTTTCTAAAACTATTAAGGCAACTAATCCTAAGGCAGATAGAATTATTATTTTTCTTCAAAAAGGATGGATGTATGAAAGGGCAAATCTAACATCCAAAAAATACCTCCTTTAATTAATACTTCAAAAGATAAAATGGTAGAGATGTAACCATCAACCCAATGCCTCTCACAGATTATGCAGCTTTTCAACCCAAAAGTAAAACACCAACTTTCATTATCCAAGCTTAATCACAAATTATTACGTCACAACAAAATAAAAGCAAACAACGATAAAATCGATCAAATACTAGTATCACATAGTCGCCAGCAAAAACTTGAAACTCCATTTGCACCCGAAAGCGAAAAGAAGATATAAATAATTCAAATTCATTCATTAACAAGTTGAGATGTATGAAGACGAAAAGCATGAACAAAATCAAACAAACAGATAACACATTTACATAAACAAAATTCAAACAATCCAAATATTTAACCATCAAACATTCAACAATCATCATCAAAATTAAAATCAAAATCCCACCAAAAAAAATCATCAGAGTTGGCAATATCAAAATCAACAAGAAGCTTTAAATACGAGAGATACTGGTACTAAAATCAACATAAACAATCAGAATAATTCACAAAATATGAAATAGAATCATAAAAAAAATCAAGAAGATTAATGAGTTACCTCAGAATTGGATAGAAAGAAAAAGATAACTTGAAAAGGGGAAAATGAAACCCTAAGCAGCGAAGCAAAAGATGGTCAGAAATGCATTGGGGAATAGAGAGGATTATAACTAAAAAGGCGAAATGAATCCTGATATTTAGGTGCGAATCAGGTTTTATAATTCAAACCGCTTGTTACACCGCAACACAGAGGCATAGGGAAACTTCTAGCACAACCATTTTTTTTTTTTTTTTCATTTTTCTTTTTTATTACTAGTAATACTAGGTATACGCCATTTCAAATAAGGCTCTGTTCACTATACTTTAAAAAAATAATATTCAGTTTTTATTAAAAATAATTTTAATTTAGCAAAAGTAATTTCAGTTCAGTAAAAATCAGTACCTTTAAAGAAGAAATATAATAGAAAATCAGTAAAAATAATTTCTCAGTAAAAATAATTTCATTTTAGTAAAAATAATTTAATTTCAGCAAAAATAATTTCAATTCAGTAAAAATAATTTTAATTCAACAAAAATAAGGTAAAGTAATGAATAGGGCCTAATTGACGCGTTTATAATTTACAAAATCTACTTTATTTTGACTAACTTTTATGGTTTATAGATTATAAAGAAAAATTATGGTGTGGGATTTTGTTGTTAGGTTATTCTAATGATGGATTTTCAAACATTTACTTTTTATAATTTTTTATATTGATAATTAAAGATATGTGTAGATTAATCTAGAGCGAAGGAAAAAGAATTACATTTAAAAATGCCAAAATAGTTTTAAACCACACTAGGTACAAATACAATTATGTATCTTGAAGAGAATAAGTTACATCATCAATTAGTATAAATGAATAACAGGTGGTCATGACCGGCAACCCTATCAATCGCGCATGACTAGCAACCCAATCAATCGCGCGATTGATCTACCACGATATATCGATGTGGCGAATTTGGAAAGAATTATTTACTTGACAAGCATTTATACCTTCTTATTATGGATTTTAGTAGTAAAGCCAATTTGGTAAGGGGAATAGTATCATATCGATAAAATCCGATCGTAGAATCGTAAGATCTTACAAAATAAATAAAAAGGGCAATAAAAAAATGTAGCTACATAAATGGATACCCATCTTTCAAGCAATAAAAATGCCAAAATATATAATTTAAATAGTAGCGTAGTCATTTTCTAGGCTTAAAGAAAAGTTTGGTTGTTTTAGGCTCATTTTAATAAGTAAAAAGTAGAATCATCTTATCCTGAACAATCATACTTGATCTTGTATGATTCCGATCGATTCTACATGATCCCATACGCTCCAACAATAATCCCAATGAAAAATCAAGATCATTCGATCATGACTGATCTTACATAATCTAGTACGATTATGAACGATCCTACCCAATCTTATACAGTCCTGACCGATCTTGATGCGATCTTATTGATGTAGGTGTCATTCGAAGTGCGCCTACCTAACCATGTGGTGAATATGCTTGACAATCATAGGAGGTAGGAATTGACATTATACGATTAGGGACAAGGAAAGTAGGAAACCGCCAACAAGTTTTTAAGGAACTTGTAAACCGTTCACAGATCATTAAAAGGCAACCACGAATAAGGGACAACGATTGACCCGTGAAGGTTACACCTCATTCATAATCCATTAGATTACTAACTCCATATGGTTTGGAACCACGAAAGGAAGATCGAGGATGATGGTACGAAGTGAGTCATAGAGTCATATTCGCCCGTATTGGCCTCTACTCGATTCTTTTAATGACAAGTAGTTCCTGCAATCTCAAAGGCACACAATACAAAGATTTTATTTGCTCCAAACTAATATTAGGCTAAATTGGTTGAATGTTAATGCAACACGTAATTCTAATTTTCGTGATCACTTCAATTAACAACAAGATTAAAAAGGATCCTAAATTCCTAACCGGTCATCCAAATTATCTTACTAGGCGTTATATTCAATTACATATTCCCTTTAACATGCAATAGGATGATCAACAATAACAATAGAATCAACATTAATATTTGAAGCAATTTAACTATAATAACAACGATTAATACATGACAAATATAATAAAAATCGTTAGAAATATAGTAGGAGCAAAAGGAACATGATTCCTTACTTTTGATTGTGTTTGCTTGCAATTATAAAACAATAAATAAACACATTAGTAATTTCAAGGAAAATAAATAATTAAATGGAAATTAATTCAAATGAAAGTAAGTTGATTTGGGGCCAAACCCTCAAACAGTTCTACCTTTCACGCCTTGGTTTAAGTATGGAATTTCAGGTAAAGTACGGACTCCGAGGAGTGCTTAAGGGATGAATTGTGAAATAGGGAAGGCAAGTATTTAGGCTAGAGCATAAGACAGAAAGAGACTATGAATTGGTGCCCTGAAACTCGTAAATTAGGTTAGTATTTGTAGAGGAAATGTGAAGGGTGAGGTCCGAAACCCTAGAAATGAGGCGCCGCAGCAGAAAAATGCACCGCTCCACGGCATTGTGCACCGTGGCACGGTACATTTTGCCTTGGCACGGTACCTGTGACGTGGTGCGGTAGTTAATTTTATCATTTTAAAAATAAAAAACGCGTGAAAAAGATAAAAACCGGGTAAAAAGAAATGTTGTGGCACGGCAAGAAATGCCATGGCACGGTACTTATTATCGTGGCACGGTAATTTTGCCGTGGCACAGCGGTTGCGTTCTATTGAACCTTCCTTAAAAATCATTTTTATCTTATTTTTTTTTAATAAAAGACGTGACAATTATGCGCCGTTTCTGTCATTCCAGACTCACTTTCAGCCTTTCAAGTTTAGGGTTTATGATAATTATTAATTGGGCTCAATCAATAAATAAATGAAATGGATTAAAATGGTTTAGGCTAAAATGAGGATTGGACAAGGTTTGACTAAATACTTGGACTGAAATGTGGACTGATTTGTATGCTATGTTGGATTATGGATTTTAAGTACTCCCGAGCTTAAATTTTCGACCCGACCAATAATGGCGGTGAAAGGCTATTCATCATCGAGTTTGGTTTTGGGAGACATTTTTAGATTTCTACAATTGCCTTCTGTTTTCAATCCGTATCGTTAGATTGAAATTGGATCGTAGGATCGTACAATCCTATGATCCGAATTGCGATTTTAACAACATCGGTGTTCATACTAGTCGAAATTTGAATCAAATTTTGCCTGGGTCGGTTTTAGGTTGGGTTGGTTGAGTCGATTTTTGACACCTTTATCCAATAGTGGTAGCTCCATGGTTAAAGTGATATCAATCAATTATTCCATATATAGACCAATGATGGAAGATTTGCTATATTGCAAGGATTTACATGACCCAAGTGAACTTGTTAAAAAAAAAAAAAAAAAAAAAAAAAAAAGGGGACTATGTTTCGCAAAACCTAGACAAGGAAAGAAGGAAATTAGGTAAAGTTGTAGCGAAAAACTCTTAGGAGTTGGCCTGAGACTATTATACATAATTGATATTAACATTTTTTATCATGTGCGTCAAGAATCCAACCCTGATGATTTGTGGAACAAATTGGAAGGTCTTTACAAAAATAAAAAATAAAAAAAAGGTTGCACATAACAAATTAAAACTTCTATTAATCAAGAGAGTTGGTAATTCGAAATTGAAACGTGGAAAGATTTAGTGTATGAGCATCTCAGTGACTCCCAAATGGTGAATTAACAAGCTGACTAATATGAAATTGCAAGCTTTGTTCTTGTTGTATTCTTTTCCAGGTAGTTGGAAAACCTTAGTTGCAATAATTAGTAACTCGATCTGTTCATAATGGAGTGCTTTCTTTGGATGTGACCAAAGATAGCATGTTTAATGAAAAGTTAAAAAGAAAGGAGATGGGAGTTGACAATTCACAAGCTCTTATCACAGGCTATAAAGGAAAAAATAAGAATAGGGGTCCTAAAGGTTGTGGTAACTCAAAAGCCAGGGGGGGTTTCTAGAGAAAGGTTTTGGACATATTTCGACAACAAGTCAAGCCACATCAAAAAATTTCATTACCATTGGAAAAATAACAAGGTATGAAGACTCACATAAAGAGGAAAATGATATAATACTAATTTAAATATGAAGTTAGTTGTATATTATTGTACACTTCTTGTATTTAACTAATTTAAACATGTTATTAAGATTATTCTTATTTACTAATGATGCCACATTATAACTATTTTCCCAAAAGATATTCATAGTTATTGTTTGCATATAAATTGATTTTGTTGGAGAGAGTGTTGATGGGATGAGTGAGGAGGAAAAAATTGGGTAAAGCAAGAAGAGGGATATTTTACAATATTATTGGAACAAAAGGAGAAAATTTGTGTAGAACGGACTCACCGTGAGTCCGCCTACACAAATCAATCGCAGATTATTGCTATGCGGTGGAGGTGGAGGACGGATTTTCCCCCAAACCCGCCCATTTCTTGAAGGATTTCTGTCTTCGTTAAGTGCAATTACTAGATATATCAAGGATCATTATTATGGAGATAATTAGTTCATTCTTTTGGGTCGTCATTGTCTGTTGCTAGATATGTCCATAGCCCAATAGAATGGATCCTACAAGGTTACACACAAGGGTTATGGATTGAACAAAGTATGAAGGCCATTCATGGGCCTCATGAGGTAATGACAAGCCACATAAGAAGTAAGGCTAGAATAGTTTGGGTTGGATTAGGAGTTTAGGATTCACATGGACTCTAATTATATATGAGTTATATAAATAGAGGCCTTGCCTAGATGATGCATACAAGTCACAATTAACCTAAGCAGTAGATTGTGAAGCAACCAACCAAACTTCCCCCTCTCTCTCACACGCCTCTCTCTCTCTCTCTCTCTCTTCCCCTCTGTCCGTATAGTATGAACGCCGGCCCCCTAGTGGACGCACGGTGGTGGTGGTGGTGGTGGTTCGTGGTTTGTTTGTCTCATCTCCTTTCCGTAGAAAGTTGATTGAAGGGTTCAATCACAACTAACTAGCATTAGTGGAGGTTCAATCCTTGCCCGTGGACCAAGTAGAGGAATCACGTTTGGGGTTCTTGTTCTCCTTATTTTTCTTGCTCGATCACTCGTGGAATCACGCTTCAAAGGTATAATTATGTGTTCTTTGTGTGTTATGCATAGATCTTGTTTTAGTTGCTTATGAATACAATTCATGCAATTCCGCTTATAGTATCTAAAGTCCTACAGTGGTATCAGTTAGCCTAATGCGTGTA